AGTTGTTTCCAACTCATAATAACCCTGTATAATATTTCCAAGGATTGACTTGTAGGTTTGAACCACTGACCTTGCAGCTGATTAATAGTCTAGTGCTTACCACCCCACCAAGATCCAAACAATTATATATTACCTACTATTCTACACATGCAGCTTCCCAATCAGCTAACCCATTATTCTTTGTCAAATTTGTTTCAATGTGTGGACACTTGCTGCCTCCATCTTACTAGCCTTTCCATTGCTAAACGTGAACAACTGGCTTCTGCTCTCACTGCTCCTACAAATATCTCATGACTTCAAAGAATCTCAGAGTTGGAAAGACCCTTGACATTCTAGGTGGTGAGTTAATGGCTTCGAACAAAAAGAGAGTTCAGTTTCATTAAAGGTCAATCATTTCATTTTTGAACATGCTAGTAATAAGTTCTTTATTTTAATTCAAAATGTACTATCCTATAACATCCACCCACTAATTACTTCTAAATCCACCTTCTGAATTTCCAAAGAAAAGTTTAATTCTTCCTCATGACAGCGCTTTAATTATTTCACAACATAATAAAATCAGACAAAAGTGCTTCTGACAAGTTTATTTTTGTTAAGTGCTGTCAAGTCATAACGACCCTGTATAGGGCTTCCAAGGAGTGGCTGGTGAGTTTGAACTGCCATCCTTGCAGTTCAAACCAATCTTGCTGATGAATGCTTATCCTACAGCACTACACCAGCACTCCTCTGAAAGCGTACTCTCCTGGTTTTCCAATCACCTCAATTATTTTTCTACTCTTCTTTTTTTTTTAAATTTCCTAAATTAATTCATTCTTTGAAGCACAGTCCTCAATTCTGCTTGGTTCTCCACATTACTTTCCAGAGGTAACTCCTCTCAATTTTGACACATTTGTAACACCAGTCTGAATCTGATATCCAAACTACAATCTTGTATCTTAACTTGACTTCTTAGATGCTACATTCTCAGCCTACAATGAAACACTATAAAAACTTGATAACTTGGGTCCAAACTTTTATGTTTCTCATATGCCTCAATTTCTGTAATGCTTCCAATTTCCCAGTTGCCTACATTGAAAATCTTCAGATCATTTATAGTTAGTTCTTCCTTATTGTTTTCCTCCTCCATTATATTGGTTGAGTCATTTGAATTCCTTTTGAAATGAGGTCTTCATTATCTTATGCCTACACTACTGTTATCATGTTTTCCTTAGTGTTTTGTGAATGTTTCTGCGCTTTTCTTTTACAACCACCCCTCCACCCTGTGCCTATAAAGCCTATGCTGTTGTTGAGTGCTGTCAAGTCGGTTCCGACTCATAGTGACCCTGTTAAGGGTTTCCGAGCAAAGGCTGGTGGATTGAAACTGCAAACCCTGTGGTTCACGGCCCCATGCTTATCCTACAGCGCAACACAAAGACTCCATAATTATACATATGGTGTGGCGCTGTACGATAAGCACCGGGCTGTGAACCACAAGACCAGCAGTTCAAACCCACCAACTAACCCATTATTCTTCATCAAGTTTCTTTTTTTCAATGTGTAGAGTTAACTTCAGGGTCACTATTTGTCAGAACTGACTTAATGGCCCTTAGCTCTATATGTTGTTGTTAAGTGCCGTCGAGTCGTTTCTGACCCATAGCGACCCTGAACATGGTTTCCAAAGCTGTAAATCTTTATGGGAGCAGAAAGCCTCATCTTTCTCCCACGGAGCAGCTGGTAGTTTCGAACTGCTGACCTTGTGGTTCGCAGCCCACTTCATAACCACTAAGCTACCAGAGCTCCTTTTAGCTATATATATATATATATA